AAAGAGAACAAAAAATGAAAAGAGTTAGTGAGGTGAAAATAATCAAAACAATCATGAAAATAAAAGTCCTACCCCACATGCCTACCCGGACATGATTTCTATCCCGCATGCTAATTTGAAACAGATTCTAACAACATATTTGTCTAGTTCGTATGCTTTGAACATAAAGTAAAACATGAAATAATTCAAGTATCCTAGGTTTTGAAACGGGGTTTTAGGGTAGGCTCTAATTCTCCAATAGTCTCCGGTTTAGGTTCTAAAAAAGGTACTCGAGTTCTCCTTGCTGGTGCCCCCTTAGGCTTGCCAGACACTTAGTCCTAAGCCCATTACAAGCTTATGTGGACTAAGTTAAACTTGAGAGGAAACATTCCCTTATGCCCATACGGAAAATAAATTCACACGAAAACATAAGGTATATGAATCTCGAAGGTTACTTGCTAGGTCCATACGGAGAATCAATTCTCACGAGAGCGTCGCTTTCACCCCCACTTAAAAATGGGTTTGGGACTCGGGTTTAGAGCCTTAGGTGAAATTTTTTTTAAAGGTTGAAATCATTGAAAAAATCGTCAGTATAACTATTTACTCGAAAATATAATCAAAAGTAAACAATAGGGATCGAAATGTTACCTTAAAATTTAAACTTACCCTTTTCATTAAAAAGACAACTGGAAATTACCTTAGCCTGACTCACTTACCTGTCCCCAGCGGAGTCGTAAGTTGTCGGAACCGTCTTTCGGGTAGGCCCGAAATTGGGCTTCGACTTAGGAAAATGGTTTAGGAGTCACCACCAATAATTTATTTAAAAGCAAATGGGTTGATCGGATACCTTATTTCTTACTTGATTTGCGTCTTACCAAATATGTGTCGGATTCGGGAGTCGGTTACAGTCAATGAAGGGCTATCACCCTTGAACTACCCTTTCAGTACTATGTAATTTCCAGTTGTCTTAGATTAAGAAAATTGTAACTCTAAATTAAAGGTAAAAATACGATCCTCATTACTTACCTAAGATAATTTTAAAGGTGTACTCTTAGAAAAAGTCGAGAAACACATTAGACGATAAGGTAATGAAAATAACTAAAATAAGGAAAAATGAAATAAGTAAAATAGTAAATAAAAAGGATAAAGTAAAAAAAAAGATAAATGAAAAAAAAAATAAGAGACAATAAATAAAATGAAAATATGCCATAATAAAGAAGATAAATAAAATGAAGAAAATAATAGCAATGTAATAAATAAGTAAATAAAAACATACAAAATAAAAATAAATAACAGATTGAATAAACGTAAAGGAAATGAAAGAAATAAAAAGAAAATAAATAAATAAAAAATAGAAACATATATATACATAAAACTATAAGATATAATACTTAAACAAAGAAATAACCAAATAAAAATAATTAAATATATATATATACTAATATAAAATAAAATAAATTAATTAATAAAAAAATATGTATATGTATATATATATATTAAAATATAATATTTAAATGAATAAAAATAAAGTAATTAAAAGAATAAATAAAACTGCACAGGGATTAAATCAAAAGAACAACAAACTGGGGTCAAATTCCAAAGAAATATAGAGATGTAAGTTTAATTCGGGGTCAAAATTACACTTTAAAAACGAAGAGAGACCAAAAGGGTAGTTTACCCTATTTTTTTAAAAACACACGGATCTAACATGGGCACGAGTCAGGTCATGGAGGTCGATGGGTTTAGTATAAAGCCATTTTTTTTAAAATTATTCATTTCTCTTCTTCTTCCACGAACGCCCCTCCCCTATTTTTTCTGATTTCTCTCTAATGTTCTTCCATATGAAGAACAAGGGTCGATTTTCCAGAATCAGGCCACCGTGCGTCGCCGCGCTGTCGCAATTGATCGAAAAATCGATTTTTTTTGCTTTTCAAAGCTTTTTTTAAATCTTTTAAAAACGACCTTGGTTTTCCAAAATGTTACCTCGGGAGGGCTAGATATTTAAATTTTTTGAACAAAAAACCCTTCCCGATCCTCGACAGAGAATTCTTTTTGGGGTTTTATGTAACCAAACAACGAAACAAGATCCCTACGCATGTAAGAATGATAAAGGTAAAAGATTTTTACCTATACTCTTTTCGAAATATAGAAAAAATAAACACTTCGATTGCTCTGAGTTTTTAAGATGATTTCCCTTGGTGTTTCTCTCAAATTTCAATATGTATTTCGTATGAAAATTCTCGTGTAAAAATCGTATCTCTGCTTGTGTATTCACTGTGTAACAATAGTGATAATTACATCATTTTATAGCCTAGCAAAAGGTTATTTTTAGTTAAAGATTGGAGTCCTAATGAAACACAAATGCTATCCTTGATGCATGTTTGTTGGTGAGGCTGAAAATCCCGGTGCATGGGTTGTTGGACGCGTGAGGAAGATGCGACGCAGAGGAGTCTTCGAACAAGGGAAACGATGTTGATGGAGAAAGGGGCCAGGGTTCTAGAAACCCTAGTTTACTGATGCAGGTCGGGCACAAGCAGACCGGGTCTCCGGTTGCTCTAGTTCGGGTCCACTGTTGGGTGCTCCAAAACGGGTCGCGGGTTTACTGATTTGAGGATGCTTGTACCTAGGCGTGTTTTTATTTGTATTTGGGCTTGGGGCCTGATCCTGTAAATAAATAGGGAAAAAATAAGTTAATATGTGCATATAATATAGTTAAAGTATATAAAATAATATGTATATATAGTATAATACATTTACGCTATATACCCTAAACCATAAATTAACATATTAATAGAAATCGGATGAAAATGTGTGTCGACAACTTGTATTTAATTTTTCTATTTTATTATTTTTATTATTTAGTTTGTAATATTTTAATTAATTTTCACTTGAGTTGTCCATCACTTGAGTAGCACATTCGTTAAAAGTAAACAAAAATGAAACAACACATACTGAGGCTTCATAAACAACAATTACATCGTTAGAGCATCAAAGGTTACGTGATGATAAAAGAGATAAACATTTTTCCTATTATGACCTAGGTTTCTACAATGCCCGCAACTTTTGTTTTTTGGACGTCTCTCGAATATCTATATCACAATGAATTCGAATGGAATTTGGATGATCTGTTTACCTTAATAAGGATGGATCTGGTACAATCGAAAGCTAATTCTAAACCTCATTTGGGTATATTTCATTACATATGGGAGAAACTCAAATTCATATACCTTAAATACTTATGAAACTCGATATAAAGGATCCACAAAACGGTTATAGTCTTGATGGGTATAAGAGCAAGCTGCTATGACATGGGAGCATGTATACTTCAGAGCTTGAAAAAACCCACAGTTACACCACTTGTCTTGTAGATTAACGAACGAGTTAGCTTCAATCACTTGAAGATGTCATAGCATTTATGTGACACGAAATAATTCATGGGTTCGGGAAAGCTTGTTACATACATTTCATTTGATGCATAAATTATTGTTTGTAAATATGTAACTAATATTAGGTGATAAGTATGACTATTTTGTATCCAAGTTAGAGTTTGTCCCCGAGCTTTGCAAAAAGCACTCCCAAACGAAAAATAAGTAGTTTTAACCAAAGCTATTACTGGTAAATGGTCCTCCCCCTTTAAGGTTGAATTGATAGACTCGGCCAAGTTGGTTGTCATGTATCCATATCGATATTCACCATCGTATGCATTTGTCCACATTTCTTTGTTGACAAGACTGATGTAATTGTACCCTTGCTCATTTTTTCCACCCAAATCTTGAAGCATGGACTTAAACGTTTGAGGTAATAGTTCGTAACCTAAGCGTCAAATATAGTACTTACTGTTAAGTTCCCATAAAAATGAAAATTATTGAGAAATGAAATTAGACATTGTGACATACCCATGTGCACAAGTGATTAGCGCATATCATTATTCTTGAACTTTCCATGATAATTTGCAGCAATATGTCAAATACAATACTGATGTGAGACATAGGGTGGTTGCCACATTATACCCAAATACTTCATTGATGCTTTGATCTCAGCTCCACGATCTGAAATGACACATATTTTTCTTTTTTGACAACATTTAAGCGCATTTTTTGAGGAAAAAAACCCAAGAATATGTATATTCTCCTTCAATAATAGCCAAAGAAACTAGAATAATTTTACGATTGTCATATTAGACAACTTCCAATAACAAAACTTGCTTGTATTTTCCATCCAAGAATGTCCCGTAAATTTGAACAATGGGCTTGCAGTATTTCACAGCATTAATGCACTGTGGGTAAGTCCAAAAAAGCCGGTAGAATTGGCATTGATCGTGAAACACTTATCATTGTGGTATGCATGACAAGTTTTTAAGTCCACTACCCTAAACCAATTTGGTAGTTAGTTGTAAGATGAATCTCACTCGCCGTGAAGTTTTTTAATGACATTCTACTTTGCCTTCCATGCTTTCTTATAGGAGACAATGTACACATATTGAGATTGTATAGATGAAATCATCACCGCAATAGCAATATGTGAGCTTGTTTTGACCATAGGTGTGATAGCTTTACACATAATGTCGGAGTCCAAGTTGGGATAGTCCTAATTGATCCCTATATCACAACATGTATGAGGACATTTGTATATTGTTAGTTCTCGTATGTTGTTTTTCGTTTTCTTATTCGATAGATGAACTATCTAGTTGCATCCGTTATCACGTTGGACACAGTAGCAAACATACTTTTCGGTGGTAGATCGATCGACTCTGGAGTGAATAGAATTACGAATGTTGTAATTTTTAATTCCAATCATCACTTCTTATTTGGATGAAAACTCCATTTTTATATATAACTCACCATCATTGACTGATGAGTTAAATTTTTAGTCACCAACATTAGGCATATCCGCAAATTCTAGCCCATACGTTGAATTATAGTCAGGTTCATACATGTGTGTTGGAGGTTCCGTGTGTATCGTATTTCTGGGAACTTCATCTACATCATCATCATCAGAGTCCATGTTGAACTGTGGTGATTATGGCTAAACGAATAATCCAGTCTCAGCATCATCCAGACTTGTCTCAAGAAGAGGTTCTTATGGTGGAGATGAAGACTCCTCTATGATGTCGATATTTAGGTCTAACAAGTTGGTAGTTGAATGTCTTACCCTTGAACTTGAAGGCATCATGTCGTACGATTATTGAACTGAGTGTTGTGTCATAGGCATCTCCATATTGAGGTAGTAGAAGCTCACAGTTGAATGCCTCCCACTGAAACTTGTAGGCATTGTGTCAAATGGGTATTTAATAGATTGTTGTGTCAAGGGCATCTCCATATTCAGGTCAAAGAAATTAGCAGGTGAATGACTTCCCCTTAAACTGAAAGCGATGTTGCCATACATATTGTTTATGTAGCCACCTCAGTGGAGTTCATAACAAGTTATTGATGGATGTCTCCCCATTTAACTTGATGGGATGGTATTAGGATGTGGATTTCCCATTAACGAGTTAAACACATTACTTGAGGTGGGTTGTCAACTTGATTAGCTTGTTAAGCCAACCCATAGTGGAAGCATAATGACATACTATGAACCGTAGACACTTCAACAAATGTGACATACATTTGTGTATCAGCGTCTGAATTTTGATTCCGAGCATCAACTATCATAGTAACATCGTCATCATTAGAGAGTTCGAATGTTGTATGAGTTAACGGAAATAGTGCGGTTAGAAATCTATACTGAAGTGAAGACAGTCTTCTAGTACTTCCAACATGAATATTCATTGAAATTTGAGTGATCAGCTCCTCAAGAGTGATGTTTATCTTGAAGGATATTCTTACTAAATGATTTGATGTGAAGACAACGCCGATTTCATCTTCCCGAATTTCTCCATCATAGTAACCAATAGCTGAAATAAACCTCATTTTTTTTAGAGTTTGAAAGATTGAGAGTCATGTATCTGCAAAAATAATAGCTGAAATACACCTAATTAAATAAATAGTATGAATTAAAATATAAACTAATGCTAAAAAATAAAAAAATAAAATAATTTAAATAACATAATTTAATATTATTACCGTATCGGTAAAATATCTCGAGATATGATACCGCCTTCCATGTAAGAGTTAACAATAGGTTAAAACATTGAGAAAATTATATGGTTTTTTTAATCAGATTTTTCGATTCAATTTCCTAGTTTTTTGGATCAGTTTTAAGTGATTCTTTGCATGGAAGTATTTATAGCACTAGTTGAACCATCAGATCTACATATATTTTTGAGTAAATTATAGATTTATTCACTTAACTCTATTCTCTATTTTATTTTATCACCGTACATTCAATTTTTTTTTTCAATTTGCTCACTGAACTTTAGACATTGAACTTTTTTTGTCACTCATCCATTAACTTTCTAACGGAATTATAACATGGACTACTTAAATATTTTTTAATCATTAAAAAAAATAAAAAAAAATTTATTAAAGAAATTCATTTTATTTCTTTTTTTCCTCCTCCTATATTGTTTTTCTCTAATCTTCTCCTTAATTTGTACAAACTCATATTCTGGCCACCACACCTACTGCCGTTCTGATCACCACCAACCACTTTCGTCGGAGGTCAATGACTCCCAAAGTTCCCATCTAAAAAACCCCAAATGATTTAAACCCTAAATCACAAATTATAACCCCTACCCCTCCCTCACCATGGCAACACCTTTATGGAAGCATCTTTAGTTTTTTCTTTATTCCCACAATGGCTCATTCACCAGTAAATACAAAAATAATTTTTGTATTCAGATTTCGAATCAGTCAATAATAAGCTTGAAAACTCCTTATGAATATTGATTTCAACAACAACTTGGGTGGTTTTTAACCAACCCCAACCCCAACACCATTACCTTTTGCTTTCATCATATAGTATTTGCTTTTGTTGCTTTGCAAATCAAATTTGAGTTTTTTTATCTTGTATGTATTCTTTAGATTTAAAATTTGGGTCTTTGAAAGAGGGGAGAAAGATGCTGTTGATGATTTGAGATTTGAGATTTGGATTTGAAAGCTAGTTTAAGACCAGGGTTTAATAATAGAATTTAATATTTTATTTTTATTTTTTAAAATTATAAATATGATGTGGCATATTTTATTATTAAAATAAGCCATGTAATAACTCTGTTAATGAGAAAACGGTCGAGTGACAAAAAATATTTAATGCCTAAAGTTTAGTTAGCAGATTGAAAAATTAAAAGTACAGTGAGCGAATTAAGAGAGATAGTAAAATTTAGTGAGTAAACCTGAATTTACCCTATATTTTTTGTTCAATTTGTTGGACCGGTTCGGTTCCAACAAAACTTAAATAAAAAGAGTTGCCAGCAAAATGAAGCCTCTCCAAAGCACTTGCGTCTATCTGGACTATTCTGACCAAGCCCAGCCATCAGCTTTCAATACGACGGTTTTATTTGTAGTTTCGTTCCTTATCTCCCAGCGTTTACCTAGAGGTATTCAATCGATCGGTGCGATTAACCGACCTAATCGAATCTCTAAAAATTCATTATTTTTTTAAATCATTAATCAAATCGGAATTGAATAACCAAAAATTTATTATTTTTTAACCATTAATCAAATCGATTTTTTTTTTGTAAATAATTAATAGAAATGAACAAATTTCGGTTAAACGGTCGGTTAATCAAATTAACTGATATTTATAAATAATATATATTATACATTAAAATATTGTATATTTTCAGTTAATTTGATTAAAATTGGAATTTAAAAACTCTTAAGACTAAATAATATATTAAATATTTGATAATTTCAATTAATTCGGTTAACATACTAATTGCGAATCAAATTAACTGATAACCAAAGTTTAAAAAAATCATTAACTGTTAAATGATAATACTTAAAATTAACTGATCGATTAATCAAAAAACTTTAACTCGATCGATTAAATCAGTTTTAATCGAAGTTTGAATACCCATGCGTGTACCGGTTTAATGTTAGAGTGAGTAATTAATGTATTACTTCCCATGAGCAATGAAATAATGGAATTTTAGTATTATAACAAATTTGCCAAAAGGGTGTTGTATTATTGTATATTTTAAGGAAGCCGACTGTACAATTGTGAAAACGTGTGGGAAGAAAAACACCCCAACACCAAGTCCAAGTCTTCTCCCAAAAAAAATCAATCTTTTATTGATATATTTGTCCCGGTAAATCAACATAGAAACATTCTACTATGATTTATTTTTTACATACGAATATAATATAGCGAGCCAATAAGAGAGCCAACCAGTTCGCGTGTTCAAAGTCCCTCCTCCTGCATGTCTACGTTATCCCTTCTTCTCTAATGATCTCTTCTTTCATGGCCAAACCCCATGAAACCAACCCCATAAACAGCTGCTTTCTCGGTTGTTTTGGGTTCTCCGCGAAGAAAAAATCCCAGAAAAATAACACCCGTTCGGTTTCTTGGCCAAGGTTTCGGTTAAGCTCGAGGAAGTCCAGCACCAAAACGGTGCCTGTAAATAACACGGACAGCAAGACGAAGAAGAAGCCTGATAGCATCAAGGATTCCTCTAAACCCCATAAACCTTCACGTCGGAATTCCAAAGGTGACCACCGGCGTCCGCCGTTCACCGATCAAGTTGCACGAGAAACAGCTAAAGAGGTTTGTGTAAAAAGTGTGGGAGTGGGAACTTTAAATGTAACCTAATTTACAAGCTTATTTCATCTATTTACTGCATTGTCATGTAGGTTAAAAAAGTTATCAGCGTACGTTTCTACTCATGGATTTCACTATTCCAAACGAAGGAGCCCAAGGGATCGCCGTCGGAGCCGGCGAGGACAGGGTCAAGCCTACCGGCTTCACCGAAGACCAAACCTAAAAAAACACCAACCAGATTGTCCCATACGGTGTCGTTACTGGTTCCAGAACGGAGTCAACGGGCGGGGAGTCCCCGGATTCATGCTCCGATCAGTCTCCGACTGAAAAACAACGAGTCGATCGCGAGATTTGAGCAGGTTATGGGTATATCTATCATCATGGTGACCTTGATAACAATGGTGCTTTGGGATCGATTATGCGCCATTCTTTATACGTCGGCTTGGTTATACGTCTGCCCTCGTTTCCGGACCAGAAGTAACAGTAACAAAAGCACCGTTGAAACCACCGCGAGCTCTGACGATTTATATTTAAACTCATCGGAGTACAAGAAGAAGGTGGTGCTGGAAGGGTTGCTCCAGAGGAACTTCCCATTTACCTTGTGAAATCCTTGTACAATTTGGTTTTGATATGCACACGTTAGATGTAACTGTACTCGTTTTGCTAAAGTGAGCCCGATGGGCATTTTGTGTAAGTTATTAGCGACGAAACATTAATAGTCAGCTTGTTTAGTTTATTAATGGAAGTCAGACACTTGGATATTAAGATTTATTATTATTATTAAAATAATTATATAAAATAAACGTGGGAAGATGTTTAATAATGTTATTTTTTATCAATACTTAGTAGGTTTAATAAGATAAGACATTATTTTTTAAAATAAGATTAAAATTTTAAATTTTAATATTACGAATAGAGTAATTGGTTTGAGAAGATCGTCACGTAATAAAACTTTGTAATACATAAGTTGGATCAATCAATCACTATATTAGATATTAGTTTTGTTTAAAAGAAATATATTGGTTTTTTTTAATACAAGGGAAGAGCAAAGCTCACAAACAAAGTGCACGTGCAGTTTCCTCCATGCAAACCAAGCGAGCAATCTCTGCCGGTGGTTCTACAAACCTTTGGAAGTGATCAGTCATGGTCCACGCCATCTGTGCCAAATCGTCTGCTACCTAGTTTCTTTCCCGTGGAACATGACGACTCTGAATAGTCCAATCCCTTTGAAGGAGCTGTTGGACATGCGACACCATCACTGAAATTTCGTTCATCCTCGGTTGACCTTGGACCACCGCAATGACATCTTTGCAGTCCGATTCGATGATTACCTTGCAAAAACCTCTCTCCCAAGCTATGGACAAACCCGAGAAGATGCCCCACAGCTCAACATCAACCACCGAGCAGCACCCAATTTTCTGCGAAAATCCTGTTACCCAGGCATCATTCGAATCACGGATCACGCCTCCACAAGTTGCCAGCCCTGAGTTCTGTCGTCATCCCCCATCGATATTTAGCTTCATCCACCCAACCGGGGGAGCACACCAACCAGCACTCGATTTATTATACTCCCCTGTTCACGTTGTTTCAATGTTCGGCTGTGATACGCACGGATTGCTCCGTCTTTCATGCATAAATTCCTCTGGATTATACCTTCAGGCTTCAGTGATTGGATGTTCCCTTTCAAAAATCAGTTGGTTACGTCGATTACAAACGCACCAGACCACAGTGCCAAAGAGGATGTTCCAATCCTCCTCCACTACCGGAAAATAGCGAGGCTGTCGAAGGTTCTTGTCCACCCAGTCGACAATATCCATCTCTAAAAATTCTGTTAAGCGATCGGGCTTCACCAGGGTTCTCAACGACTCCAAAACAATTGGGCACTCCCGCAAAAGGTGAGAGCTGCTCTCAACGGCTGCACCACACAAAGAACAACTGATATCCGACGTTAGGTGCCGACGGTCCCGTTCCTCATTCGAGAGTAACCTTCGATGACAAATAGTCTATGTTAGAAATATAATATAATATAATGTAATTAGTTGGTATTGGTTTAGTCAAAATTAATTGAGTTTGTTAAAGGTTGGTTAGTTTGTTAGATCAAGTTGTTAAACTTGGTTTAGTGGTGCTCTATAATTACTGTTTGTAATGGGTTATAGACTCAAGCATTTTTGTAATTCATTTCTTCACATTTAGCAAACAGAGTTGCCTCTTTCACAGCTTCTCATCTTCATTCACTGTCATTTACCTACCGTTCATCTTCTGGTCACTATGTCTCATTTCTCACATGATATCATTCGCCAAACGGTCCTGACTTCGTTTTCTTCCTTTGCATAGAGTTCGTTGGCTCTATTGTGAATGCTTTTGCCGTCGTTAATGTTGTATGTTTCTTCTTTCTACTCGATTGGATTGCAGGTTGCTTAGATTGGTTTCTGCTTGCTGTGCGAATGTTTCTTTTCGCTTGCACTTATCATCTCTATACTCATACCGGTTCAATTCATAATGCTTCTTCAAGTGCTTTGGAATACAATCAAAAGAATGTTTTTTGCCTACACTAGTGCTAAGACCTCTGCACTTCGGCATAGTTTGCATACACAACAGAATGGTTTTCAATGGAATTTGTTGAATTGCAGGTTCGTTGCTTGCTTTCTAATGCAATTGTTGTCTCTACAGGATTTCCCTCTCTTAAAGGGGTTAAGCGTTGAGGTCTAGTTGTTATTTCTATTCATGCGAATTGTTAAATAACACATCGTTTTTGGGTTGATCTTTTGTGTTGCTTTGGATAGTATAGTTACTTCAATGTTTGTCATCTAGTGATAGTTTTGGGTTGTTCTTGGCACTGGTTTTGTTTATCTTCATGTTTCTGGAAAATGCTATGGAATTGTAGTTCACTCATTGTTAGTGGCTTGTTTCTGGAAGCTGAGATATGAGTGGGCTGTAAACTGCTGTTAAATGCTGGAAATGGATATTATGGCATTGCATTGCTCGCTTAATTGTTGACAATTTGTATTCTTCGTTATATGTTGCTTCTTCTCCAAGGTAGTTGGAACTTGAAGCTTAACAGCTAAGTGTCCATAGTAGAAAATATCTGGGGAGAGTCAAGAGTTTAACAACCTTGTTCTCCTTAACCAGACAAAATAGAGTGTTTTTGTAACATCCCAAAAGATGGGTCAGTGACTTAAATGCAAATTTTGAAAACTTAATGCTCAATTTTGAAATAAGTTAAAAGTTCAGAGATTTAATTGGAGAATTTTGATGTTGGATTTAATAATGAAGTTTGAAAATAATAAGGGTAGTATGGTCATTTTGCAAGGAAGATTTTTATAATTCCTTTATAAGGAATTAACTCATGTAGAAGAGGAAAGAAAGGCCCAGTTGATTCCAGAGTTTTCTTATTCTCCATCTTTCTTCCTCATACGTGAGAGCTAAAAGAAAACGTAAGTTTTCTGGGTAACTGATTATTTGTTGATTTTAAGAGAAGGTTTTGAACCTTAGGTGATACTTAAGCTTAAGGAAAACTTAAGTCATCTTAAAATCAAAGAATGAAGAAGTTATGAGAGATTAAATAAAAGGAGTTTTTAAGTGAATTATTGAAATATAATGTTTAAATGAATTTGGAAGTCGAATTTGACTTGTCATCTTTGAGAATAAGAAGTTATAAGAATTAGAATTAAGTTTGGATAACATGGAAAATGTGGTAAGATTCTTGGTTTTAAGGATTTGGGAAATATATGAAAGAAAATAAGGTGTTGGAATGATAGAAGTTGGTTAAAGTGATCATAGTTAAGTTTGGTAGCATAACTAGGGCTTCATACTGGAAAATTGGGTGAAGTGTTGATAATTTTCAGGTAAAAATAGACTATTCTGGGAAGGTGCATCGATGCACTATAAATGTGTACCGATGCACTAAGAATAATTTTATAGATGCATCGATGCACACTGGAAGGCATCGATGCATGGTAATTTCGATAAGTGAATTATGGTTCATTAAATTCGTTTAAGCTATCAATATTAAATTAAAAGGTTTAGGCATCTGATAATTGCCTTAAATATTATATTTAGACAGATATCGAGCCTAGACAAGTTCCGGAACATTGGGTAAGTAAGATCGATTGAGGAATGATAAGAGATCAATATTGACTAGTAAGGCCAGGTGAGTGCTTATTAGATTTTTATACGAGTTTTAATGGAACTAATACTTGCGACAAGTCTAGTTTCTATATTAGAATGCATGAGTTTATGATTATATACATGTGTTTGATCGGAGTATATGTGATATATGTTATGGTATGTGACATGATTTATGTGAATACATGTAGTGTGATAAGCCATATGAACTAATATGAATGATCTATATGATTAAATGAGAATAATGATATCAGTGATAATTTAATCATTGTTACAAGATATATGATATGAGCATAAGAGAATGTATAAACATGAAAGTTATGAGTATGACTGAAATGTTAAGTGTCTATATTAATATGTGGTAAAAGCTATATGATATAATGAATGTGAAATATCGTAGTGTGAACAATATGACAAGAAGGGATAAAAGCATACGTTTATGAGAAGACATAAGTGAATAATTATAAACTTTGAAATCAAATGAAAGATCATACGAGATATGTGATACAAAGTCAAGTGATATGTAAGTGATCAAGGTGTACTTGTGAATATGCGATAAAAATAAATGATTATGCCCATGTATAGAAATTGAGAGCTAGAGGTATAGTTGGCATGCCAAGAGTCGAGGGATTTACAGTGGTCCTTCGGGACAAACATTCAGTACCCCTAGTGGGAATTTATACGAGCTGTGGTGACAACATTAATGCACAACCTCAATAGACTCACATATATTTAGTTCTCCACAATGTACATGGGCCAATAAAGATATAATATAAATAAGAAGTAATATGATTTTTATATAATTGTGTAGTTTGACATGAGTATGGGTTGAATATATTGCAATGTTACATGAGTTAATGTCATAGTTTATGATGAATTGATATATTGGATTATAAGGAAATAAATTGAATTTATATGATATGTTATGAGTAAATACTTGAGAAGTGTTATGAACTCTATAAGTAATAGTATATAAACGTAGATGATGTGATGATGTATATGTATGCATATGTTCATTATGTGAAATGCATAATATGAGTTATGTGATGATGTGTGTGTTGATTAATTAATAAGATTATATATATGATTACATGAAGAATAACGAGGATAATGGGATTATAGGTATATATAGATATTTATTGTTAATGCATAATGTGTATTATAGTTGAATGTGATTACATGAAGTGTGCATAGTAGGAATGAGTGATGAAATGTTATATTTAAGTTTATCGATACCTCACTAAGTCATAGACTTAGCGTGAGAATGTTTCACACGTAGGATTCCGAGAAGCAAGAAGAGGAGCTAAGAGGAGCAAGACAGGTCAATCACTCATTTACAAAGTTCAGATCAGAAAAGAATTTATGAATTATATGTATTTGGTTTTATTTAGTTGGCATGTACTAAAAGAGTTGTATTGAATATGCTCTGATAAGTTTTGAAATACAAATCATTTTAATTTTATGTAAAATAAAGAATTTTATTTAATGAAAGTTAGATTTTCATGATTTTATACAAGAGACAAGTTTTGAAAAGTCAATGTGGCATTTCGGACTCGTATCCGGGTCGGGTACGGGTTGAGGTATTATAGTT